TTTTTTTTTTTTTTTTTTTTTTCGTTCTTGATTGTTCTCTTTCAGTTCGAATTTCTTGCCCTGTGGAATTTGTTGTGTACCTTCTGAAATCTCCCGATTTTGTACCTTGACATTTCGGTGAAATTACCGAGTGTGTTAATATTGTAGGCGAATGTACGTAAATGACCGAATGAGACTCGAGAAGCTCGCGTAATTTTTTCCCAAAATGGAAGAGAATTGGAATTGAGTAGAGCGACTGCCTCAATAAATATTCGAGCGAAAATAAGAGACATTCGTATATAAATATAAGCTCACAAATGTCGCGTTAAAAAGTCATGAGAAAAGTATAAAATAACAAGGGATTGGTTGTTCGTTCGACGAAGCATAGGGAATATCGGACCGTTTCAAAAATTCAAGAAGTTTTTCATTTTTCACAACGATTTCTGTACGATCCTCTGTTGTATATTCGACGAGATTGAAACAGAATTCGTTCGTTATTCGTACTTTCATTCGAACAATTGAAATATACTTTTCGTTGAACATAACAATTGAAAATAGAAGTATTTAAAATTGCAAGCGAGAAACGTCAGATCTCGAACGAGGGATGTTCACCCCAATCAAATTAGCAACGAAATTTGTCATTTCGTTCGATCATCGTTCACTCTTGAAAATGGTTTCGGCCACTGTGAAAGCTTCCCAACGGCGAGGAATCAAATACGCGAAGGCGTGAGAAAGCTATTTAGAAAGAATTGATTGGAAGAGGTGAAACGCTCATTGGGAAGATTTTACAAATTACGAAGTTAGTATCGGATAAATGGCGGGAAATCGCCGAAACAGATGCGATCAATCATTTAATAAAGGCGGCAATTTCACAAAAAAAACGCCACGAATTTTATTTTACGATGACTTGACCAATATTTATATATTAGTTCGAGACCAACTTGAACAAGCCGTATAAAAGTTTATTTCACAGATCACAGAATTCATTCGCATTGATTTCTTTTAATTTCAGCGGATCAGTGCTCGCGAATTCTTTGTGCAAGTTCTTAACGTCTATTAATTACCTCTCCTTTAAACGTTCTTCGCGAAATAAAAGTCTTCCGACCTAAGCGATACCTAACGATCAAAGGATCAAAGGAAACGGCCCCTGTTAATTCAGGTTAACACTCGTTTAAATAATACATCGAACGAAAGACCAATCAATCACTACTTTAATTAAGAGAAGACTTCTACTCTTTTTGATTTAGTCGTCGTCGTTGCAGTTTCTCGTTTGCAAAATTTTTAATGCAGGAAAGCTTGAAATTCACTTTATCTGAAATTCCAACGAGCACTG